GTAGGATGAAGTTAGTACTTCATAACTTGACTGTTGAAACATCTAAAAGTTTGGCTTCTGTCTGCCTCCATGTCCTCCTTTCTGCCTTCTTCTATCCTGTACCTCTAAACTGAAACATAATCCAGTTGGTTACTCAACTGAAAAACCAAGCCATTCATTCAAGATGTCCATAAACCTACAGATATTATATAGTCATAGTCTGTCTAGCTTTGACTGCTGGTTCCTATTGAACTTTTTATTGTGCCTAGACTCTGAGCCCTGGAGTCTTCTCTTTGCTCCCAAGCAATCTCAGATGTGGAATACGCTCTTTGTCCTTTATTTCCCCAGGACACAGCTTCCAGAGGATTCTTGGGTCTGTAGTAGAAATTACTGAGGGTCTAAGCAATACAGTGGAGCAGATGGTTTGCCTTTTTCAGTTCTTAGAGACCCTCAGTCCGCCCCACCCTAGGAATTCTTCCTTGGTTGGTTTCTCTCATGAGATTTTCTTGCTCACCTGTTAAATAGTCACTTCTTCCCCCTTCCTCTCATCCTTTTCTTGTTCTAGTTCTTTTTCTCTATACTCGTTTTTTTTTTTTTTTTTTTTTTTGCCTTTCTCCTGCTTCTTCTCAAACTCTATTTAACGGGGGTGTTTAGGGTTGCTGAATTTTGCCATCTTCTATATCTGTCTCACCCTTGCACACCCAGTTTAAGACCTAGGATGCTCACACAGAGAGTTGAGTGATGTTACACAGTCCCTCTGTCCCCCTGTCACATCTTTTTTTTTTTTTTAATTTTTTAAAATTTTATTTAAGGAGAAAAGAAAAAAAAAGCAGAGAAAGGGTACAAGTTATACAGATTTGCAGAAAAAAAATGAACAGTAGGAAATTACTAGTTAATGGATTACATATTGTCATCTTAGAAATAATTGTTCAAGTCACAAAATTAAAGCTTGTAAAGTGGACATTCCATCAATGATACTGCAAACAGTTCTGTTCAATGATCCAATAAAACTCTGTGATATCATATTCTATCTTATACACTTAAATATACATGCAGTTATATAGTTTAGAGCACTTTCTTTTCCTCTCTTTTGTACAATGACTATTACACATTTTGGGTTTCATTGCTCTCACGGTTCTTATTACTTTTTTGGAAAAGAGTAAAACCAAATGTGACATAACAGAACAGAATCGGTCAAGTCAAAAGAGTGGACATAATAGATAATGTGAAAACATAATACAAGGTGATCAACAATGGTTACCATAATGCCTCCCGCTATCTCTAATAGAATTGCCTATACCATTAGTTATAATACAATTGAACAAAACAGTAAAGAACAAAACCGACAAAACCAAACCATTGGAGACATTGTAGGTCTTCAAAAGTAGATAAAAGTCAACAAGAATGGGCGTTATAATGAATGTCATTATCTTCACAGCTGATGGCTAAATTTTTGAACCTAATACTATCCAGCAAAACAGAATAGGGGAACATCAGTTATAAAACCAGATGGTGAGAGTAATACAGGGCTTTAAATCGAGGTAATGGAAAGTCAAAGTGGGTTACTATAATATATCCTGTTATTTTTTTTTCCTTTAATTAAAAGGATAAAAATTTAAAAAGTATTAAAAAAGTAAATAATGGAGTGGAGATTGAGATAAAAGAGGGCATAACAACGAAACAGCACAGATCAAAACATAACCATTTAAGCAGAATAGTGTTTCACCACCAGATAATCCTGACCTAAAAGTAGTTACCATATTGTCTCTTTCCTTGAAATCCTTGAGTACAACTTCGTATACTGTAGCATTAAGTATATCAAAACAATGTAAAACCATTTAAGAGAATGACAGCATTACAGAGTATTTAGAATCGACTAACAGAAAATGAATAATGGTTTCTGTATAATCTCCTTGTCTTTAAAAGGTTTTTGCTTATACTATCGTACATAATAAAATCCAGTAAGATACAACCTATTTAGACCATTGGAGACAGAAGGACAAAAGCTAGATGAGACTTCAAAACTAGATGATCTAAATCAGTATTACCTATTAAGATGTCATTTTCTCCAAAATAGCTGTTCCTATCATCCAATCTTCTCTGCCTCATTTCTGTTGAGCTCTTATTCTGTCAGTAGCTGTCAGTTTGTCTTCACTTTGTTCTCTGCTCCATTAGTTGTGGCCTCCACTATTTCTGGATTCTTTGTATTTTTCTTTTTTTAAAATATCCTGCAATACTCTCTGTAGAGTTGAACTGGTGGTTGCAAATTCCCCCAGTTCCTCTTTATCCTGGAAGCACCTTGTTTTTCCATCAATTTCCAGGGACAGTTGTGCAGGATATCTCAATCTTGGCTGGAGATTATTATCTTTCAAAGCTTGAATTATTTCCCCCCACGCTCTTCGTGATTTGATGGTTTGTGCAGAGAAATCTGCTGTAATTCTGATGGGTGTTCCCCTGTAAGTGATCTGTTTCTTGTCTCTGACAGCTTTTAATATTCTGTTCTTGTATTGAATTTCTGGAATTTTTATTATGATATGCCTGGGTGTTGCTCTGTTAGGGTTGTAGGTAGCTGGGGTCCTGTATGCCTCATACATCTGAGTATCTTTACCTTTTGCTAAATTAGGAAAATTCTCCTGGATTATTTCTGTGAGTAGCTTTTGTAGTTCATTTGTTTGTGTCCCTACTTCTTCTTTTATGTTCTTAATCCTTAAGTTATGGATCCTCTTATCATCTTCTTGTCTTTGTATTATTGCTGTTTGTTTCTTTGTTATTTTTAAGAAGTTTTTCATTTCATTCTCCCATATTACAGTTCTGCCCTCCAGTTCAGATAGTCTGTCATTAGTTTCTTTCAAGCTGTTATGCCAGTCTTCGATAGACTTCTTAGTTTCTTGGTAGTCCCTTTGAACCTGCTTCACGTATTCTATGCTTTCCCTGTTTTCTCCATCAAACAATTCTCCCCTCTTTTTCTGTTCTTCCATTCCACCATCTGTTTTTTCTTGGGTGGGGCTTAGCATTTCTCTAACTATTTTGCATACTTCTAGCTTCAGGTCGTTGATAACTTCATTCCTGAATTGGTCTATGAGGCTCTCTATATGGCGCCTTATGTGTAATGGTGCGGTGTCTGCTATTGCCTGTTTCTCAGAATTGGGGGCCGAGGAGCCTTTCTTGTTGCTGCCTCTTCCCATATTCTCTGTTCCTTATATATGCAAGCTTATATGAGAGGCCCAGCTTCTCTCCCTGTCAGCCACAGCCTGATCGAATTGCCCCGGTTAGGTGTTCCCACTCACCGCTGTGCACCAGGCAGCCTACGCGGGGGCCTGCCCCTCCCGGCCTCCGTCAGGCTCTGGGATCTGGTTTGGGCCAGCCTACTGGGTCTGCCGGCAGCGTCACGTAGGCCAGGCACTTTTCACCAATCCCGCCCGAGAGGGGAATGTGTGGCTGGAGTCTCCACTGCGCCCTGCTCCCGCAGGACTGCTCGGGCCCAGAAAGTCCGCTGGAGTCAAACTGTGGTGGAGTGTCAGTTTCTCTCACTCACCTTGCCACAAGTCAGAACATGCCTCCCTGCCCGTCCTGTTTTCGACTCCGTTCACAGACTCCCGTTCTCAGAGTTTCCGCGCGTCTCTCTCCTTGCCGAGCCGATGTAGAGGCAGCCAGCCACTGCGCGGCGGGAAACCCAAATCGTGGCTTCCAATGGCGCAGGGTCCAGCCTCAGCAGCGAGACTTTTCTGTTCCTGTTTTAGCACCAGGACTGCATTCCAAGTTGGTTTCTCTCAGCCCAATTCGTTCCTGAGTCAGCAGAGCATAACTCCATCTGCTTATGTCTCTTTAGTCTGCACCATATCTGGCTTCTGAGCCTAGTTTTTCAGAGAGCCTCCGGTAGTTGCTGTTATCTGTCCGCCATGTTCTCCCGGAAGTCCCCCTGTCACATCTTGCTGAGCGGTGCACATGTAAACTCTATGAGGGCAGAGATCTTGGCTGACTTGTGCACCCCTGTACCCTTAGTACCTGAACTTGGTTGGAGCATATTTGGGCTCTTGTTAAATATTCACTGAATGAATAAGTACATGATTGAATAAGTGAATATACAAGGGAGATGTTGCTTACACTGAATAATAATTATGATTCAACTCCTCTCCCTATCTTTGGATTTTCATGGACAGACATTGAAACCCAGCCCACACAGATGCTCTATAATCCTGATCTAATGCAAAACAAATGTACTTGTCCATTGTCAATTCAGCTTAGCTAAATTGAGAGAATTAAAGCATCTGCAGTTCCTAGCTTATTGAGAATGTAGATGAATGCCAGGCCAAGATGAGAAAAGGGGTTACAAGACAACGAGCTCCCACATATTCAGAGATGACAGGAAGACAAACTTCCTCTTGCAACCAAAGCCATTAGAAAATACACAAGGATTCTTATGGCTAAGGTCTTCTTGCACACTATTGTCTTGCTAGAGAATGCCATTTACCCATTTCATCCATCTTTCCATTCACAACAGTTTTTATAAAGTTGAGGAATATATCCTAGTTCCAGCTGTGTGAAATGGCAATACCATTGGTACTCATTTATTGAAATTATTGTGAGTTAAAAAAATATTATAAGGCAAAGCACCCAGGACTGGATCAGTTGCATAATAAAAGCTCAGTAAGTGATAAATATTGCCCTTATTAGAATCTGAATATCATAGCTCCAACTCTTTCCCAGCCAGACATTAAACATTTATCTCAATTTTATTATCCAGAATGCATGGAAAAGAAATGGGATGAAGGAATCTGGAGAAGTAGGTAGAGCCAGGCTGGAGCAATGAACAGGGATGGGGAGGTTGAGGCAGGGGTATGGGGTGGAGGGGAGAGCCACTCCGGAGTCTCTCTCTCTGTTGTTTCCAGGAGTCAGTCTCCAGTTGATCTCACTGGACCATCAAGGAGAGTAGACAGGGAGCAATAACACAGTTAGGACACAAGAACATGCTGTTGGCGTACCTTCCTCCATTGGGATAACTGGTTGACCCGGTCCTAAGACTATATCGGGTTACTGTGGGATTGGATGGTCATACTGACCCGGCTTTGCAGCCAGGTGACGTAATCCTCACGAGGCATATGAATGATGTGTTCTCGAACAAACTGTGGGTTAAATACAGTGACAGTCTCAGAATTTAGTTCAAAAGCTAGCTTCCATCCCTATTCACCTCCCTTCAAGATCCTGGAAGGTTTGTCATTGAGACTCACAGGCGCCTGATGACCCAGGATCAGCTGTCATCAGGCTGAGCTGATCGGTCTGGAAAAAGGGACCAGAGCCTTGGTAGTTTTAAGCCTTCCTTATTGCTGTCTGAGAAGAGTAGGACAATTCAGCTGAATGCATTTCTTGTCTTTTCTACTCCTTAATCTCTCTCTCTCTTTTTTAAAAAAACCATTTGTTCATAGATCTCTTTGAGAATTGATGACAGCTCTGGGCTTGCTTTTCAGGAAAGAGTTTAAGACACATAAAACATGTTGTTTCCTATAGAGTCTAGAATTAGAGACTCTATGTCCAGCTTATCAGAAGTTCTACAAATGTTCCCCTGGAGATGAGAGTACTAAGTTTTATTCCTCAGGGCTGAAGATGTATCTCAAAGAAAGAGGAAGCTTCTGTAGCCGTTTCCTCTTACCCACTCAAGACCCACCTCCTCTGTGCTCCCTTGGAAATGGTAGGAAGAAGCAGAAACCCATGACTGGCCTGTGCAAGGTTGAGTTAGTGTTGGCTTAGCCTGCCAGAATCTTTCCTGAAAGAGCCTCACAGAACATAGGGAGTAGATTCTAGACCTCTGAATTTGCTACAGAGTTACCACTTGCCCTTGATTCTGACTTTGGTCCTAATCACACAATCCAAGGTCACCCTGTGGAAGAGTCAATCTTGTATAAAATGGCCAAGATTCCTAAAATCTGTCCAGCTGGAGAAATCCAACATTTGAGTCACTTCTTTCTTTCTTTGCAGACGTTGAGTCCTGATTAAAGGCACATATGGCATCTGATAAAGTTAAGGAAGCACATAAGTACCTCTAATCTCTGCTGTGGAGTCCTTACTGCTGATGACTTTGATGCCCTAAGGAACTACAGCTTCAGCAACTTCTGGTAGTGATGGCAATGACTCAGTAGCTTACTTCCAATCAGCCATTCAATGACTCTGCAGCTCCTTTGAAATAGAGACTAAATCTTTACCCTGACTTTCACAAGTCTGCACAGAATGGCCTCTCCAATCTTCTTGGCTCCCTGCACCCCCTTGCTAGCCTCTCGCCACCCCTACTGACTGCCTAATGAGCTCCCACTCTTGCAAGTCAAGTCCTGTCCTGCCCTGTGGCCCTTGCCTCTCTTCCTGACCTGCTGTCTCCCCTTCTCTATGTGATGCTCATCATTCTGGCATCAGCGTAAAAGTCACCTTTCAGCCAGGAATGATGGTGCCATGTGTGTAATTTCAGCACTCTGGGAGACTGACGCAGGAGGACTACAAGTTCAAGCTCTGTCTGGGCAATGTAACAACTTAGTGAGATCTCGCTTTTAAATAAAGAATCAAACAGGTTGGGGTGTAGTTCAGTGCAAAGGCCCTGGGTTCAGTCCTCAGCACTCCCAAAACAAACAAAAAACTAAAATAACAAACACCAAAAAAAAAACACTTCCCCAGTTGCCCTAGCAACTAGGGCTCCTGTTAATTTACTTCAAACCAGAGCATTTCAAATTTTTTGTGCATGCGACACACCTGGAATCCTATAAAAATGCCAACTCTGAACTGGCAGATACAGTCTGGAACCTGAGATTGTGTCTGTTGCACATCACATGGTGGGGTCCATGCTGCTGGCTCATGGACCATGCTTTTAGAGCCAGATTTGGGGAGCTCCTTACGATTATCTGTTTCTTTATATTTCCACAAAGCCTCTTAGCTTCTGGAGAGCACTGTTTACATAGAATCTAACATTCGGAGAATTCCTAATTTTCTTCTATTAAATTGGGATCACCATGATGTAGAATCTCTATGTCTTTTGTGTGCGATGCCTCCATTTTCAAAATGATGCCTGGGTGTTAGCAAATGACTGAATGAGAGCCTGCAAGGCACTGTGACAGGGAGGGGATGGTGGTTACCTCGATAGCCACAGCAACATCTGGGGAGCACAACTCCCAGACCCTCAGGTCCTGCAGCACCTTCAAGAGAACATGGGGCCGGACTCTCAGGTCGAGGTTCTCCCCAAACTTCTGGAGTTTGATCAGGATCTTTTTGGCAGGGCGATAGTTCTTCAGATCCTCAGGGAGTTTGGACAACAAATCAAAGTACCTTCAAGTGAAGAGCAAATGGCCAGTTAGAGAGGTGCTAGGAGGGGAAGCCTGGCCCTGCTGGGTCTTACCTTCTCTTTCTACCACTCATAGGGTATTCCAGGGCAGCCCAATCCTCTGTCTGGGGGCCTTTCCTCCATCTCACAGTGTTAATAGTCCCACAGATCAGGTAAGACTTTATTTTTTTAAAGATTGGAAAAGCTAGAGCATGACTGAATGAAGGGCATGTTTTCAGGGGGTGAATTTATAGGTTTTATGTCAACGTGTAAAGGTAGAGAAAAGAAGGAAATATCTGGATTCTGGAGCTTTTCTTCTGAGCATTCATCCTGCCAGGATGAGTGTGCAGACATCCAGGGGAGGTCTTCTAGGATGTCAGAGACAGTCACCTTCAAGACGCCAAAGACAACAAAGGCATGTGTGTGGGCGTGTGTGTGTTTTCCATCTGTCTGGTAATGAGTAAGCTTGATCCAGGGCTTGTGTATTTCAGCGTCATGGAAGAGTATGATGGTAATATATTCATGTCTCTTTGCATAGAATGGAATCCCCATGAGAACAGGAACTTAGCCTGAGTTATTCATCTTTGAGTGCTAGAACTGTGCCTAATTAGTAGTAGGTTCTCGGTAGCTACACTTTGAAAGAATGAGCAAAGAGCTACAACCTAACATCGTTGCTGCGAGGCTGTGGTTCAGGTGATTCAATTTTGATATTTCTATGGAGGGCAATTGCATCCCCCACAATGATGCCAGAAATTCCACCACTAGAAATGTGAGCTGAATCTTCCTGTGGGAAGATCGGCCTTAATTTCCCACTATAACACTTTTTGTGAGTTACTTTATAACTCTCATTTTTTCTCTTCTACCTCCCTCCAAAAGAAGAGAAAGGTTGAGGCAGGAGGATCGCAAATTCGACCCCAGCCCTGGTGACTCAGTGACTTAGGGAGGCTCTGTCTCATAATTAAAAAAGGAGAAGTGGTTGGGATGCAGCTCAATGCCACGGTGTTGGGTTTGGTCCCCAGCAATGTGAAAAGAAAGAGGGGAGAGGTTTTGCGAAAGGCTCACCCTTTTCTGCTTTCAGGAGTGTCCCTCTTGAGAGCTTCATGTAAGCCAGCTTGTGAGAAAGCGATGCTCTGGGAATGTGAATTCGTGGCAGGTCCCACAACTTCACTCAGCCCCCAAGGGACCTGGCTGTGGCACATTATTAATATCAGGGGAGGGAGTCTGGGCTCATCCTTCTATTTTCTCCTCTTGTTCTTAGATTTTGCTTTACTCATCCTGCCGGTATTGGGTTTGTGATATCACAGCTCCCCGGACTCTACTTGTTCACTGCAAGTGAGCACAGCAGTGAGGGGCAGACAGGGCCTCCCATTCTGAGCTCCTCACTGCTGGTGGGGTAACCTGGGATATGTGAACTGACTGCCCCAGATCTCAGTTTCCTTATCTGTGATTTGGAGTTAGTATGTGCCTTTCAGGATTTAGGGGAAAAGAATGAAATATTTCATTAAATTTATTAGGGTAACTGGGTGTGGTGGCACACACCCACAATCCCAGCATTTGGGAGGTTGAGGCAGGAGGATTGCTTCAAATTCAAGGCCAGCCTGGATTACATAGTGAGTTCAAGGCCAATCTGAGCTACATAGCAAGATCCTGTCTTAAAAAACAAAACAAACAAAAAATAAATTTATTTAAGGTAGTAGTGCCTGCCACCCAACAATTACTCAATTAGTTATGTTTTTGATTTTTTGAGTTGGTCTGCATTTTCTTTTCTTTCTGTGGTGCTTGGGATCAAACTCGAGGCTTTGCACTTAATAAGCAAGTTCTCTCTCACTGGGCTTCACCCCTAGCCCATTACTAGCTCAATGCTATGATGTTTCTTAAAAGTTTTATTCTACTTTTAATTGTGCATATTGAAGGGGTAAACTGTGACATTTCAGTACATGCACAGGATATGTACTCATCCGACCAGGATATTTAACATATTCATCAAACCTTTCTTTGTGGTGAGCATTCAAAATCTTCTCATTATTTTGAAATTTACAATATAGTATTGCTGGCTATGCTTACTTGATTGTGCAGGGGAACACCAAAAAGTGTACTGCTTTTTGTTGTCATTTGTCTTTACCCCTTGATGTTCCTTGGGTCTGTCTGCTTGTGGTGTAGCCTTGAGGGGTTAAGTTGTTTCAGAAATGTACTGATGGCCTTATAGACCTCAGAATCTGTAGAAAGTTTCAGGTTGAGATGTTTTGTCTGCTTCTCCCCTGTGGCCAGCAAGTTAGTTCTCCTAATTCATACATCAGAATCCAACATAAGGTAAATACGGACATTATCACAAGTTAGGTTATCTGTGGTTCAGAAACCGATGCGTTCTAGTCTGATTATGCTCTGGAGTTAGCCTGCTTGGTGCACCCTCTTGGGGGCCATGGATAGTTTGGGGTGATGCTTTTCTATGCCTCAAAGGACAAGGAAATAAATGACGGTCTTATAATAATAACTCCCTTCCCCCTTTAGGGACCACCTTAGCTAGTTCTCAGGGTCTTTACCAGTGATCAGCAATTTCGTCTGCATCTCCTCTAACTGCAGCGACGTGTTGTCTCATCTTTGCTATATCCTTTTTAAAATTTGAGACGAGGGTAAAAGCGTGGAACTTCTGGAGACTTCTTTCTTCTTGGCGCCTGCAAAGTTGTATGAGAAAGAGGAAGAGGAATCACATTTCTTCCTTTCACCTTCCTGGCTGCCATTGGAGATCTGACTTAAACACTTTTTACTTAACAGGGCCCTTCTTAACCCTCTCAAGGTTTTAATTTATGGTCTTACTTTCTGGGAAAAGTGATGTAACTCTCTGTGGATCTGAAACATTTTTCTTGCTAAACTAGCCTCTTTTGATCGTTCCCTCTTTTGTTTTCTGATTGTGTTTTCTCACCTATAAAATGCAAGATAATGATTCCTACATCTCAGAGGTAAAGATTGGTTGCATTATGTGTGCAAAGTACTGAGCTTACTGCGAGGCACAGAGTAGGCATTTAGCTCATGTTGGTTCCTCTTCTCCCTTCTCATTTTGTGCATACATCCCCACTCCCAGGAGAATTTACATTTTAAATATAACCATGCCAACCCCCTTACACACTGTTCATAGGCTTTTCATTTTGTTCATAATATGTAACTTTGAATAAGTTGTCCTCCAAGGCACCAGGCCATTCACCTTCTCCAACATTTTTCAACTTCATCACTGTGCCCAGAATTTTATGCCTTGGCTCATGATCAGCATCTCTGAGATAAAGTTTAACCTCTGCTACTGGGCTAGTAAAGCTTTTTCTGACCTGGCTTCTGTTTACTCTCTGGACACCTTGCATGCTGGCTCCTGGCAGCTTCCTGGCTCACTTCTGTCCTCAGAGACTTTGCTAATCATTTTTCATGGAACTCCTGGCCTCAAATTTTCCAATGTGACTCTTTAAGTTTGAATCCTACCTTTACTACCTAACAACGTGGGGCAACTTTGATAAGAGACATCTCTGAGCCCACTTTTCCCCTCTATAAAGTGGGTCTAGTTCTAGCACTTACTCCCTCATTTGTGAGGAGCCCATGATACATAAACTCAAAGCTTTCACTATATCTGCAAGTTGTACATGATTCCAAGGAGTATGCTGACTAACAGAGTGTCTCAGAAATGCCTTCTATTTTTTGTTGAATTAAAAATGTGATTTCTTCCAGGAACACTTCTGATGGGTGTTTCAGGTCAGGAAGAATGTCCTTTTCTTGTGTTCCCTCAGCCCCCTGCTTGTTATCCTGCTGACCCTTCCCCTTGTGTAGAAACTGCCTATTTAACTGTCTGTCTCCCACACCTGATGGGGAGCTCCCCAAAGGCAGGTTCAGGGCTGAATCCTCCACTCCTCTTGTACCCAGGAAGCCATTTGATCACTGAAGTAAGGATGAGAGTGTAGAAGACCACGTGGACGGCTCTCCTTGAATGCAGAACTAATACCACCACATGAATTAAACCAGGCTCTGTCTCCATGTACTGATATGTACAGAAATGGCTAAGCTATTTCCTTTTCCTGCAATTGGCTTTAACCAAATAAGGCCAGCTGAGGTACTGACAGGTAATACTTGAGACTCACATTGTGGTGCCCATAAATGGTTTAACCCAGCAGGATTGCAGAGCCATATAGCTCCAGGAATGTCAACGGAGTATGAGCTTCAATTTAAGAGGCTATGACTTCACAGGGCACAAAACTTTACATATCAGAAACGGAAGCAGAAGAGCCATTCAAATGCTGTTCTAATAAAGTCACGCACACTGGTCTTTCTGTATTTTCTTCTCTGCCTGTTGTGGAGGTGGTTTCTCCCCACCTGGCCAGCTCAGTTCACCTTGCTCACATGGTTCCAGCCTGCCGCACTGTCACTCATCCTCCAGCCCCTCCCTTTTTCACCAGACAATAAATTCTGGGGGAGGCCTTGCATCAAGGCCTTTGTTTGTATATCCACTTGGATCAGACTCAGGATGCCGTGGCCGCCCATAACTTTGAATATGTTTTAGTGTCTTTAGTCTTGCATTGCAGGTGGTAGATTGGAGTTAACTCAAGTGGAGTGCCCATAACATTTCTATAGAATTACAAATATAACTTTCTGGATTGTGATGTGAACAAGTAAAGAGATTTCAATATTTGGGTTATAATATGAGAGTACAGAATGTCGCCTTACAGCCCTCACTGAGTGGAGGACTGCATTTGCGGCAGATGGACCCTGCAGTCAAGGCACAGGAAGAGGGGCAGCTATTGGAATTTCCAGAAATGAACAAGGGCCCAGTGGCCTAGTGGTGCTCTTGAAATCAAGTCCCAATTATCACACGTGTGGCTGAGCGTGAAGCAGCCCTCAGTGCTGTGTCTCACTCCTTCCCTGTGCCCCTGCCAGCTTTGGGATGCACTTTCCTGGCCATCTAGAAGGCCACTTCTCATCGCAACATGAATTCCTCCTCATCCTTTAGGGGCCAGCAGAAAGTCATCTCTTAGAGAGAGCATCACGGATTAGCAAATTGTTTCCTCCCCTTCCTCCCCCACCCTATCTCCTCCTCCCCTTCTGCCTCCCCCCTTCATCTCTTCCTCCTCTTCCTCTGGCTCCTCCTCTTCCTCCTTCTTCTCCCCCCCTTCTTCATTCATCTTTCCTCTTTACCGCCTCCTTCTCTTCCTTCTCTCCTCCACTGTTTTCTTTGCACTATCTCTTCCCCTCTTTCTTCCTCTTCCCTTTTTTCTTCTTACTCCTTTTCACCCTCTCCTCCATAATACTGTGGATTCCCCCTCTTCCCTCTCTTTGTCTCCTTCTCTCCTTTTTCCTTCTTTCTGCCCGCTCTGCCTTTTCATCCCTCTCTGATAGAGTACCCTGTTGTCTTCCAGCATAAGATGATTACAATCTGTAACTCTTTATGTCTGTTTTTGTGGGTGCAGTTATTTGGTTGCTGCCTCTATTCTGCAGGACACCTTTAGCTCCTTGATGGAAGGCAGCAAGTCTTTGTTGTTGCTATGGGCATAATCCGAGCACTTATCACCCAGTGAGCACACAGCATGTACTAGGTAAGCGTTCTGTGAGTGAATTAGATACAGGCATGTCCTTACTTCATCAGGATTTCCATTTTATCCTGCAGGCAGAAGCCAGCCTCCTGGGCTATGCTGTAAAACTTGGCCCTCATGAGGCTACAGAGTCCACTCTTGTACTGAGCGATGTCACGGTGAGCATAGCTGTGAACAAAGAGAAGAATTTGAATGGTGGAGCCAAAGGGCTTGACCCCCTAGTGGCCTCAAGGGTCCCACTCTGTCCTCCCACGGCCCCTTAATTCTCTGCCTTCACCTGGAGCTCCCTCAGACCCCGGTGCAAGAAGGATAGATTTTCCCAATAACACCAGGCTGGTGGATTAAGTGAGCCCACAAGTGAGAAAGCTGGTCACTTGAGGGTGTCACATGTTCAGGACAGCAGGATGGAATTTGGATCTGGAAGATTCAGGCTCTAATACTAGTGCCACTCCTTTTTAGCTGTGTGGGAACTGGCAAGATATTTAACTTGGCCGACTTTCAGTTTGCACCTCTGTAAAATGGGATAATGTGCCCCTGCATGATAAGATTGCTTTCAAAGAATACACAAGGCAGTGAATGCAGAATGCTTCTCACTGTGCGTGACACAGCAGAAGACCTTCTTGCTATTGTCTGTTTTCACTTGGCATCTTGGTTGTGAGCCCGTTGGGCTGCAGGATCTTTGTCCCTCTGCACTGTCCATGGCTTCTGGGGGTCTGGTCTGCACTGGGTCATTTCCACAATCCTGGGAAGGGGAAGGCAGCATGAGGGGTCACAGTAGTGATCCTTCCATTGCCCACTTACCTTTTTGTCTTCTTTTGGACTGTCTGGGTGTGGCTTTCTCCACTTGTAGTGCTGGATTTCTCACTGAAACACCAAAGGATGGTTTCATGTTTTGTTGAACCTGCTTTTCAGAAACAACCTCCCTCTGTGGCCCCCGTGAAACCTGCAAGCCTTGAAGAGTAAGGTGGTTGTAGCCCAGGCCCCAGAACCCAGCGCATTTTCCCTCTACTTCCTGGCCTTCTCTCCTGCCCTATCCCATGCCTGGAGGACCCTCCTTTTTTCCTTCACCACCTGCTTAGATCCTACTGTATTTTATGATCCACAGCATGCCCTGTGCACATGGACTCTTCAGTCCATCTTTGAGCTTCTGCCTCTGCACAATGTGAAAGGATTATTTATTTCTGGATCTCAGTTTTGTTTGTATAAAATCAGTCTCTCCAACTGGAGGATAACTTTGTTTTGGACTCTTCTTTCCTCCTCTTCTCACTCAAGCCTGAACATGGGGCCTAGTGCATGTGGGTAGGAGGATGGCTGAGGCCTCCTGGCCATGTTGTCTTCGGTGTCCCCAACCCCAAAGTGCCTCATTACAGGATTCTCTCTCCTTCCTTCCCCTCCCTTTGCCTCCTTTCCTCCTGAGTCTGCCTTCTCCTTACCCCTCGTCTCCCACCCAGGGATTGAACCCAGGGCCTTTGCACTAAGCTACATCCCCAGCCTTTTAAAAATTGGAGATAGCATCTTGTCAAGTTGCTAAATAGCCCAAGCTGAACTAGAACTTGCAATTTTTCTGCCCCAGAGTGCTGGGATTACAGACATCAGAATTCTCCAACCTGGATCCTTGATCTGAACACCTTTTTTATTCTGCTTTGGAGGAAGACAGGGCTAACTGCCCCCTGATTCCTGCAGATGAATCTTTTGAAGACTCTATATACTCTGGCTCACCTCCTATTTTTCTCCTGCTTTCTTTTAGAATTTTGACAGTAGGAGAGGAGTTGGGAGGTGAGAGAAGTGGTGTTATTAGCTAGCGAAACAAATAGAAAAACGAAGGCTCCTTTGGTTCCCTCCTCCCCCATCTTCCCTTAGTCTTCTTTGAGTTTCAACCACGTTGGTCTTTTCTCAGTGCCTTTATGATTTCTCCTGCCTCAGGCCTTTTGCACTTGTTTCAATATCATTTCCACAAACAAGCCAATTCTTTGTTCTCCAAATGTCAAATTCTGCCTTGTTTCAGATCCTGGTTCTAAAAGTTCTCCCAATCCTCCTCCTTTCTTCTTCAGAACATTTTCATAAACGTGATTTCATGGCTCATTATTTGAGAAATGTGTGACATTCTTTTTAAACGAGTGATTCTTAAGCATGAGCAGAATTCAAGGGACCATCAATGTAGATGTACCTTCGTCTTTATTGTAACTAACCTTTAACTGAAACAGAAATCACAGATATTTGCATAGTGGATTACAGTTGTGGGAAGTATTTTGAAGAACTGTTTACACCACACACTAATCCAAAATTACAACAGGTATTAGACCTGCTGTTATGTCTCATTATATAAGGTTTTGCTAAGGAAGCCCAGGGATTACTATGATCCAAATTGAGCAGTGCCTTGTAATTTGTGCATTTAAAACATATGCATTTAAAGCGTCTTCCTGAAAGGAATCCATAGGCCTCCTTGAATTGATAAAGGATCCATGGAGCAAAAAAGATCCAGACAGTGAGAGCCATGAGGGAAGATTGCATTTGCTTGTTTGCTACTGAAACCTCAGAGCCTAGCACAAATCCCAGGATATAGAGAAGATCTAGGAACACTCTCCAAATGAGTAAATCAACCGAGGGAAGCCCTCCCCTTTCCATTACAAACCATCCAAGCAGGGAAGCACATTTCACTTAGCATGAGGTCTTCCTGGTTCATCCATCTGTATCCCACAGCATCATGCTGTAAACCTCCAATATGCAGGATAAAACTTATCAAAAACCCCACAATAAAACAAAAAACAAACCCAAACAGAGCAGAGGGTTAGACCTGCATTACATGCTCCAGACAACTCTTCATTGGTGGAGGAGTTAAAGTTTCTCACATACAATTGTTGGGACAACTGCCCGAATACTCACACCTAGCCTCTTTTTTTTTTTTTTTTTGGTCAGGTGACACTTTTATTGGCTACTGTCTTTGGAGACTATTAAGAGCCACATATGAACAAAGCAAAAAACAGAAGCCCAGTACTTGAGGTGGGATCCTGGGGGAAGTAACTGGCGGAGAGCGGGAGGTCATCGATGGCTGAAGAATCCCTGAGGATGGTTATATTTAAAGGGCTTCATCCTACTTGGACCCCTGAAAAGCCGCAAACACATCTTCTCTTGGGGAAATTCCTTGGGTCCCTCCACACTGTCGTCATGGCTCTCAGTCTCCAGGTAGACGTCGAGGAGCACACATAGCCGCTGCAGCTGGTTGGTCAAAAGCTGATGACTGGGCCGAGGACCACAGAGCTCCTTGTAGCACACATTGACCTCACTCTCCATGGCCCGAATGTTGTCATCATTGCTGTTGGTTTTCTCTCCTTTCCAGTTCAAACAGAGCTGGAAAATGGGTGGGATGGAGGAGTAGCCAGGGTTCAATACCACAGCAGCCTGGAGTTTGGCTGTGCCCCTCTCAATGAGCGCCAGGACATTGTGGAAGCACACCTAGCCTCTTGAAGGATGAGGTTTGTTCCCAGTGAGTTCATAAGGGAAAAGGGCCTCTCTCTGCTGCTCTTGCCATGGGCTGTAATAGGCGGGAGTCAACCTACCCACCTGCTGTGGCTTTGGGGGGGCCCTCCTACCTTGACTTGTGGGTAGCCTGCCCCTCCTTAATGATGGATTCACTCTTGTGGACCACGGATAGGAGGCTGCAAAGCAAGAGGGACTGTCAACAAGGTGCTGAGCACATTGTGCTCCTGTGGCAGCTAATGTGGGAAGGAGAATGGAAGGGTGTCCGCTTCCTAGAGTGGAAACTTCAGAGCTACATGGACTAGGAGGAATTCCCTGGAATTTGGTATGAACATAGCTGCTGGATTATGGCACCAGAAATTTGTATTCACTGAGCCTGGCAGTGAGGGCAATAGATGCTGCATTTGAAGCCACATATGCACACAAACAGACATCCCTAGACTGACACACATATACACACATTCAAGGATTACACATGCACACACACTATAGAATCCTACCTCACACACATATTTGTACACTAGAATTGCACACAAATGTATACACATCTCTAAATTCTACATGCACATATGTGTAGACACACATATACCCTTTAGGATTCCACACACACATAAACATACTCCTAGAACTTGACACACATACATGCATACACACCTAGAATCACACATCGACATATAGCCTTAGAATTCCAAGCACATATATCTACCCTATATAATTTACACACACATGCATATGCACACACCTGTAGAACTCCTCAGCACTCAGTGAAGCAGTGTGCACACATTTGAAGTCCTTGTTAAAAAATGCAATCTCCTCTGGAGATTCTGACCCAATTGTTCTGGGATGAGGTCTGGATATCTGTGTATTTCACCAGTATCACAAGCTGATTCTGATTGCTGGGGACATTTGGCAGATTTTATGAAGAGGCTGGTCATCTTACATGATTTGGCACCAGTCTGGCTTAGAGGCTGGGACTGGTCAAGGTTGGCTTTTAGGGGTTCCTATACACCTCAGGGTTTCCTGTTAACTGCACTGGGAATGGAGCTGCTGTGCAAAGTGTGAAATAAGCCCCCATTCTAAGGTGAGGGGCAGAAAATGCTGTTGCTCCTGTCTCCCTGCAGCTCCTCAGAAGCCTTCTGGGTTGCTGCCTTAGAGAGAGATTAGGGAGGTTACTTTCCTGGAGGAATTAATAAGGAAGGGAAATTCCAATTGTTCTTGCTCAGTAACCATGGCTATATTATCACTAAACTGAATGCAAGGGCCCCGTGATGGGTCTTCTGAGACCCAGGCTCAAGTGTGATTTTGTCTTTGAAGACCTATGTGGAAGTCACTCATCACTACTCTTCCCCATCTTTGAGATGGAGCATCAGTGACAGTTAATGCACTTGTCCAGCTAGGTGCTGTAAAGATTTCACAGGGCATCATGTAGGAAATAAAAGTAATGACAGCACCTACCCTCCATCAACAATGTCATTTACTGAGTACTTACTCTAGTCCAGGCATAAGCTGTTACATTAAATAAGTGCATTATCTCACTATCTCACTAAATGCTTTAAGTGATTTATTGAAATAGACATCGTTTCCATAACATTCATAATCCTTCACAAGAGTAACATCATCTAATTCACACTCCTGCTCTTTTGGATAGCTAATTAGCTTCACTTTACAGAAGTGGAATCAGACTCTGAGAGGTGAAACAATTTGCTTAATATCACACAACAGTTAAATGATGGGATGGAGATTGTCCCTGGTGTGTCTGGCTCTGAAGCCAATACTTTGGTGCTACACAATCTTATTTTTTAGATGAGAAAATGAAGGTGTTATGACTTAGATTTGAAAGTCTCCTGTGCTTGGGAGATGAGGGGATCATGGGGACAGTCCATCAGTGGATTCAGCCATTGCTGAGTTTCATTGTTGAATGGGCTGCTAAGAGGTAGAAACTGGCTGCAGGTGAGTCACTGGGGCATGATCTGAAAATGGGTATTCTTGCCCCCGAGAACCCCTTCCTTTCTCTGCCTCTTGGATGTTGTAGGATGAGTAGCTTTCTTCTGCCATACCCTTCTATCAGGCAGCTTCTGCCTTGGAGCCAGCTCACTATGGACTGAAACTGTGAGCAAAAATAAACCCCTCCTCTTCGAATTTGTGAGTGTTGAATATTTTGCCATAGTGATGGGAAAGTGAAGTAGACAGGAGGATTCAAGAAAGGCCAAGTGATTTTTCCAAAGTCCCCAGGTTTTGGACCCATGTTAGCCTGACTCCAAAGCCAATGCCCTTGCTATGAGCAAGGAAGAGGCATGGTCAGGTGGATGTTCATGATGGTCTACCTCTAATGCTGACAAATCAGGGTCAGCAGTGTGGGCCTAATGGGCCAACATTGTCTCTGAGGACCTCCAAGTGCCACTTTCCAGAGTCTCAGGGGAAGCTGAGACACAGAAGACAATTTCCTAATTAACAGGCAGAGGCAGGACATGATGGCCATGAAAGTGCTCAGTGATTTGTAATTATGGTAATAACAATAACCAATAAGTTATAGCATGCATCTCAGTGGGCTGAAGGCGATGATGAACCTCTTCTCCTGCCTCATTTATTCACAAGTGGTAATTTGCTTGCTCAGAGGGATCTACACTTGAGAAGGGAACTCTGACTCTAGCCTGCATTCTCCCTGAGGCTTTTAGAGGTCAGAAGGATGGGGCTTTCTATCAGAAGGTGACACCTTAGGTTCATGTCCAACTTTGTCTCTTAACGAGACAGTTGTATTGGTTTCTGCTTTGAAAGCTCACAGATACTTGTTACTCAGAATCCTGGAGATGAGGTTTCCTAATATGAGATCCCCAGACCAGTATATGTCTGTCTCGATCCCATTTTGACTGTATTTCTGCTCCTCGGAGGTCCTGTGGTTCCCTCTGACCACACTTACACATAGCTGCCTGACACGTTTACCCCTCCCGTCTTGTCTGTGCCTCACTGTTTCTGGCTTCCTGCTTTATCCAAATCTTAAAGTATTTTTCCAAGGGAAGAAATTGATCCTCATCTTCATCCCAGAGTAGGTAAATACACCCTTTTCCTTTTCGTACTTCCAAATTTTTCAATACATATTCATAAATATTTATGCTAAGAATGATGGACAGGATTCCCAACAGGCAGTATGGTGGAGTGATAAAGATGAATTTTGAAATGAGAAAACCTGAATTGAAGTCATGATCTTACCATTCGCTACTGTGTGGTCCTGAACAAATCATTTAGTCTCTTTGAGACTCGTTGCCTCATGTGTAAAATAAAAGATAATAGTATCCACAGTGTAGGGTTGTTGTAAAAACCCAGGAGGTAAGACATATGAACAAAGTATATAGGACAGTGCTGCCGCAGAGAAAGTACTCTGTATTGGTATCTGCTATTGTGAATATTAAAACCACAAGGTTGGTATCCTTTGTGTGTCAAGAGAAATACCTGGGAGGTTTTCTTTGCATCTCACTTTCCATTATGACTGTCCTATGGGCATCTTCTCGAACCATTTCCAGGAGCTTCTGCAGATCTAACAGGAACAGAAGTTATTAATAACTTGAAGTAGGATTGTGCATGACCAGACTCTAGACTGAGGTTGGTTTTGAGTGCAGGGGAGCTGGACAAGGATCCCACTGGGGTCCAAAAGAGGTGGCTTACCATGGGATATAAATCTGACCATGTACTGCCTGCTTAAAACCTATCAATTATTTTTATTTTTCCTTTGGCAACTTTACATGGCCTGTGAGGCCTTGGAGGATCTGGCTACTATTAATTTTTCCTTTACTCACATTAAACTCTGCTGCAAGCAGAGAGAACTGTTTCTGATCCCAAGAAGAAGTTTTGTTCAGGTAACCCCTTCTGATCTCCATAAGCCTGACTTTCCTGTTGATTCACAGGCTAAATAAAGCTCACAGATACATTTTATTTGATTTGAGGTGTATTCCAACCTTGTAAAGCTAGGAGATTTTGCATAAAATTTCAGAGCTCCAGCTTCCCTGGGAAAGGATCTGAGATGGGGCTACATTGTCCTCAGTCTTGCTGTGCACTGAGCGTAGCCTTTAGATAAGTGTGTGCTCTTCAGTTCCCTCTGGCTTCCACCACTTCACCCAGATGCCTTTATTTTCATACTCAGTGCTATTGGTTTTTATATAGCATGGAAGTTTTTCCTCAGAACTAGTTGTTATGGATTGAATGATGTCTTCCAAAAGACATGCTGAAGTCCTGGTTTCTAATAACTTGGAAGATGACCTTATTTGGAAATAGAGTCAATGTAAACATAATGAATTAAGATTAAATCATATCAGAGTACAATAGGCCCTTAATACATTATGATTTATGTTATACTAATAAGAGAGAGAAACATACACAGGGAAAAGAGGGTTATGTGATATTAGAGGCAGGGATTGGAGTGATATATCTAGAAGCCACAGATTACCAGCAACTACCACAAGCTGGAACACTCAAGCAAGGCTTCTCCCTTACAGATTTCAGATAAAGCATGGTTATGCTGGTACCTTGATTTTGGACCTAAAGCATCCATAACTTTGAGGCAATACATTTCTGTTGCTTTAATCCACCTGTGCTGTGGCATTCTGTTAGGAAATTAATGTACCAACACTTTCAGAAGCTGAAAAATGAAATATGAACTATGTTTTTTAAGAAAGTGAAAATTGGTAGTAAATGGTCATGCTTTCTGTGCATATATAGATGCAAATCTCTAGTCCCTCCACTTATTTCTACTCCCTATCTTGGAACTTGATGGAAGAAAACCTGGGGCTTCAGCACTTCCTTTCCCGCCAGTTGGGAGCTATCCTTGGTCCTGAAACAACACACGTGGCAGGTTGTAACGTGGTGAATGTCTTCTCCAGGATTTCTCCCCCGATTCAGGAAGGAGACAGAGAGCCAGAGTGAGAGCGAGAGCGAGAAAGAGACAGAGAGAGACAGAGAGAGACAGAGAGAGAGACACAGAGAGAGGGCCAGACAGAGAGACAGAGACACAGAGAGACAGAGAGATACAGAGACAGACAGAGACACAGACAGAGACAGAGAAAGAGAGAAAGAGAGAGAAAGAAGAAGAAGAAGAAAAGAAGAAGAGAAGAAGAAGAAGAGAAGAAGAAGAAGAAGAAGAAGAAGAAGAAGAAGAAGAAGAAGAAGAAGAAGAAGGAGCAGCAGCAGTGGCTTAGGACAAGGACAGGAGGAGCTACACATGCAGACAGGTTTTGGAAGATCAGAGCCTTCCTGGGAAATAAAAAAAGGGGACAACAGAGATAATTTTAGAATAATTGAGAAGCAAAAAAATCTTACACTGGCAATTAATAGAATTTAAGCAACTCAAGGGTGAGTCCTAGACACATTCTACTTACTAGCAATGCAATCTGTTTGGGTCTCGAAATGAGCAAACATGTTACGTGGCTGTTTATATTGCTAGCTCCATGCTACATGGCTAGAATAAAACTAATTTTTGATTTTTAGTTTTTATCTTGATGGGAAACACTGGTGGTGTTTGTACTGTCTCAGAATAGAGAGTAGAGGGGCTGATGCTGCATTTGTAAACTTTTGATAGGCCTCTCTCAGTTTCTTCCTTCTCTGGATGCTGAAAGCATATTCTCTTCCTTCTCCATCCCCACACCTGGCAATGTGCCTGCTGTGGACTCCTTCAGGTCACCATTCTCCTCACCGCCTTCATAGATAGCACTGATTTCATGGGATGGCAATCTCTGATTCACCTGTGGGCCTTTACTTCTAGCCTGTGAGTTCATGTGGTCAGGAGTCATATCTTAGTTGTCTTTCTGTTGGTAACACTGTTAGAGTTCTTGGAATGTGGAATCTCAGTCAAGAGTTGCAGAATGGATCAGGGAAGAACAAAGGAGGCAAAAACTCAGGGATCTGGGGAACACTGAGCTAGTATCTGGGTGTTCCTGAAGGAAAGTAATGCTAGTCAACACATTTTAATCCCTTACAGGGTGCCTGTAGTCAAATCATGCTCAGATCTTAAAAGCCATACTTGGAAGGGAGGCCCAAGGCCTGAATCTTCCCAGGATCAATTGCCCAGCCTTGTTTATAAGTGCAATCACTGGGTGCTAGAGACAGAGTGCCAATTCTTAGTCACTTTGGTACCATCTAGGCTGCTGTGATAAATATCAAGATACAACCATTTCCCACTCTATCTTCATTTTGTCTGAATCTAGCTTTCATCTTGGTGTTTTCATGCCCACATACACTGCCATCACACATCCTAGAATCCTTGGGAGGTGTGATAGAAGCCTATAAGTGAGGGAGTGGTAACTGATTCCTTTTCTTCCTTTTTTCACGTAGGAACCCAGTAGCAACAATGGACATTGTTCCCCTTCCTGCTATACAAAAGCAAACCAGACAAGGGATGGGTGGATATAGCAAATGGCCCCAGTGACCTGGCGCCTTGGGCAATGCCACTAGGGAATTACATGTAAGGCTTTGTGCTCAGCAAACCACAGATATTTTTCCTGCTGGATACATGCCTCTGAGCAGGAATGATACCAATATGAAGGACGATGTGTCATGCAGCTGAGGTTGGACATGCACAAAATCGAACAGAATCTCAGGACTTCTCATTGTTACCTGGAGAATGGATTTGTTTGGGAAGGCTGCAGACGTTACAATGTGGAGTTTCCCAGAGGAAGAGGTCATCTCATGGTGGATGCTTACACACAGAGGGACCTGCTCAGTTCTCAGTTCGTAGAAGTGTGGGGTTCTATGACCCTTGGCTTAGAGAAAATCACATGTCACATTCTCAAATGCCAAATCATGTCATCCAAGAAAAGAAATTCTAACTTTCTTCATCTACCTTCTAATTTCTGGTTGTCTAAGAATTCAACCTAACCTTTGAATGACTGAATTCATTTTTTTCTTCTCCTTTGGGGAAAATAAGAGAGCTGGTTTGAGAGGGAACACTGTACAGTATAGGGGCCACATTTTGAGTTGCTATTTAAGCAAGTTTCTCCTCTAATAGTTCCAAAATTGGTAGAAGGAATAGCAATAGTTTCTTGGGATTCCCCTGCCATTGATTTGGAGAAGGTATCTGTTCACAGAGAGGCCATAACCTGATATCCCTAGTGATTCGCACCTACAAAGACTTCATTACACAGCTCACCCTGGAAATTAGACCTTGGTTAAATGGTGCATCTCTCAGAATAGGATTCATGAATTCAGAATCAATTTGAGGAAGTTTTATAAGGCAGTGAGAGACTAGGAAATTAATCTACTTTTGTCAAGGCTCTGACAAATAGGATGGAGGTTAATATATAAATGAAGGAAGAGAGGACTCCAGTAGGACTTTTCTTTCTAGAAGCAGGTCTCTGATGGAAATGCATTCCATCTCTGATGGAAATGCCATTATTTTATACCATGCTGAAGGTAAGACATTCATTCATGCCTGCACAGATCTCATATTCCTTTCCCCACTTCTCCTTAGCAATAGAATGGTAATTCTTCTTATGTAGTGGGAGGAAAGATTTACCAGCTAATTTCTCCAGGATTCTTTGCAGTTGGACAAAATCTTGCAGTTGGTGATGAAGTTTCTGAGTGATGAGATTTTGGTAGAAGTGCCGTATGGAGCTCCTGAGAAGGCTGCTCAACTACACCTGAATGTGGGCACTTTTTTTTTTTTTGCAGTACTAGAGACTGAATTCAGGGTTTTTACACTGAATATATCCTCAGACTTCAAAATTTTCTTTTATAATTTTGAGACAGCGTCTTGATAGATGCTAAGTTACCCAGGCTAGGCTAGAATTTGCAATGTTCTTCTTTCGGGCTCCAAGAGTGCACCACCCTGTCCAGCTGTGTGGGCACTTTTATATTTGTCTACTTTCTTTCTGTTTTAAACTTAGAATGTGCCAGCCATATTGGATCAGGAGTTCTGTTGAGGATGGCAGAGAAAATAGAGGAAAATAGGATCCACGATTATCTTCTGGATTCACCTCACAACCCCTGGATTCACTTTCAAAAATAAAGTTCTGTCTCTTTGAAGTCACTATTTTTCAGATCTCTGTATTAGCTAAAAGAAGTTCCTACTTGATACAGTGAGATATAGCTTTAGATTAAAATTAAGTACTCAATAAAAACCAATATAAAATTCTAAGAGACTTGAAAAGTGGAAATCCCAGGGGAGTCAGGGGAGGCTTCAGAAAGGAGGGAACATGTGAGTTCAGCCTCGAGGGTTGAGTTGGCATCTACCAGCCTCAAGAGTCAGGGTGAAAGAGAATTTCAAGTAAATTATTTATGAATATGGATTGTTTAAAAAGAGGAATATTCTGTGGTGAGGTTGTATTTCCCTGTCTAAGGGATGGTGTGGCCAAATCTGAGCCACTTACCGGAAGTCTGGGAGAAGGTCAGAAGCAATGCCTTAGCAGCGACGAGGAGTCATTGAGAGATGTTAAAATGGACAGTACGAGGTCAAACATCTAATTTAGGAAGTTCTCTGATGCACAACAGAGAGAAAAATTGATGGGTGGAGGCAGGACAGGGAGCAAGGAGACTAGAGAATTATTATGTTTATTATTATAGTGACTTCAAAGAGACAGAACTTTATTATTATTTCCCTCCTCAGCTTCAATTGTTCAGGCTTCAGCTTGGAGGCTTCCCTTGCCCATCCTGGAAGCATCATCCCCATTCCAACCAGTAGTCTCTCTTCAGCCCGATACTCAGTTTTATTATTTTCTGAGCATGCACTATCTACAATTATGTTGTTGCTTCTGGTTTTCTTGCCTATAGTCTTCCTCTTTCTTCTAAAACATACTATGCTTCAGTTCCCTTCACATAGCAGGTGTTCCACAAACAGGTGCTGAAGGAAAGCCATATTCAAGAAATCCAGAAGAATCACATATCTGTGAATGGTTGAACTTAGGTCCTTTTTATATTTGTGTTCAGAAAACAGCTTTTCATGGCTTGGGGACTTTTCTCACCCCTTGCTGACAAGGCAAGGTGGTGGGATTCTCTTACTGCCATTTCTACTCAGAGTCCTAGCCACTTTCTGGGTGGTTGCATTTCTGCCCACCTCTGAACCTGACTCCCACAGTCCTGTGTATACTCTTGGTCTATTTTGACCTCCTTAACACTCTCTTTGGATCTATGCTACACCTAATATTTGTTAGCTCTTCCCATCCTCGTTTATCACATGCAATGAAGATAGTATGAAAGAATGTTAGCCATGTAGGCAGATACGTGTGTGCATGGGTGTGTGTGTGTGTGAATTTTCTTCCTAAGCCAGGGCCTATAATGTTCAATGGATGTTCAAAAGGATCTGTGCCTCCAACATTGTGGGCTATTGAAAAGGCTTGTTTCAGGGACAGGGATCACAGAAAAGACAAGTGAATCTCTGTTCAGAAAACACAAATCTGTAGAGACAGAAAGCACATTTGTGGCTGCTTGGAAATGGCTGGAGAGGGAGAGAAAATGGTAATGGGCATGATTTTCTTTTAAATTGATGAAAATGTCCTAAAATCAGATTGTAGTGATGGATGTACAATTTTGTAAACTTGCTAAAATCAGCAAATTGTACATTTAAAATGAGTGAATTTTATGGTATGCAAAGAATCCCTCACCAAGGCTGTTTAAAAGTGGGTACTGAATCTGAACGACTTAGTGTGAAAAAATGATTTAAATCATCTCACTAAATTTTATATTGATTAAACATCAAAATGATAGTATTCTAAATAAATTCAGGGCAAATAAAATACAGTTTTAAAATTCAAAAAGGTCAACAAATGGCCACGGAGTGCCAACTTAGGAAGAAGGTTCAAAGTAATACAAATTATAAAGTGTATTTCTGATCTCTGCTGGGAAAAAAAGGATCCAAAAAGGTTGAGCAGGGCTGAGGATTTCTGTATCTCCACTCAATGAGTGCGAGTGGAGGTGGCATGGGGCGAGCTTGTAAAGACCTATAGGAAGGAAGTACATCTTGGGGAGAACTTACAGATGTGAAGAGGTTCCTCATCTGGCTTGGTTGAAGAAGACTCGTTATCCTCAATGTCTTTGCTGCCAGTCCCCTGGGTGATCAAGCTCTGGGGCTCATCTGAGCCAGGATTCACAGAGATCATGCTGCTCTGCGGGGAGGAGCCCCCGCTGGCCCGAGACAGGCTGAGTACAGAGCCACGCCGGCTTGGCTTGTGGGTGGTGTTTCGTATGACAGGAAGTTTGAATTTCGTGGTCTAAAGGAAGGACGGAAGAAGGAGAGAGTTCAGAAATGAAGAAGAAAGGATGAAATCAAAGAGGGGAGAAGGGAGGTATGGAGAGGGGAAAAGGAAGGGAAGAAGGAAGGATGAAGGGAAGAGGGCAGAAGAGAAAGAGATTAGAAAGAAGACAGGAAGGAAGAAGCAAAGAAGAAAAGAAATAAGGAAGAAAGGAAGGAAAGTAGGAAAGAAAAAGTGAGCAAACCTGGCTCTGGGTGTGAATTCTTTCTGGACCCTTCCACATATCGTGCAGGACATTGTCAATGTGGAGTAACATTTTGTCACAATTGAGATAATTTAACAATGTGTGTGATTTGAAGCAAATGTGACAAGATTTATTGTGCTGAATGAGCACCCAGCCTTTCAGCTCAGGAAGTCCTGTGTGTATTTCTGGAACTGGTTTTGACTTTTCTTTTGTAATAACTACTGGAGTTGACTTCTAACTGTAGCCAAAAAATGGGATGAGTGTGTTTAGCTAGTCATCCTTTTAATCCTGAATGATATATACTAGGTTCTTCCTCATTGAGTTGGTGCCTGGATCTTAAGGGCGATGATTTGTATTTGCTGCTTTTAAAAGAATCCAAGATAGAGAACATTACTGAGGAAATGTAGTAGGGGGAAGAAGATTTCTCTGGAGGGGCAGCATTCTTGGGGGCAGGAGCCATGATTATAGTGGGTGGGTGGGACTGGATGGCAAGCCCTGGAAGGGAGGGGAGAGGTAGGGAAGTCCTGTGAGGGGAATGTGGATTGGGGGAGGGAAGGAGCCGGAGAGTACTGTTTAAGGACATACGTGTGTGTGCATGCACGCTCATGGTTTGTGTCACTTCTAAATGGACTGACTGAGGTCATGTTCTTGTTAGACTCATGAGCCAATTTCTGAGGAGCTTCTTTCACTTCAACAGCAAGTGGCAGAGCCAAGATCCAAACAGAACTGAGGTTAATGCCCACGCTGATTATTAGGCCCTGGCTACTCCAGAGAAAGGTCAAAACAGGCTGGGGGGGGGAGGGGGAGAGTCAGAGGGAGAAAAAGAGAAAGAGAGAGAGAGAGAGAAAGAGAGAGAGAGAGAGAGAGAGAGAGAGAGAGAGAGAGAGAGAGAGGAATGCTATACAGTATAAGTTGTGATCTCTTTCTGGTTTTGGTTCACTTTCCCCCAAATGTTTAGTAAAATTCTACACAAATGGCAAAATTCTTCAGGATGTATCAGACTGGAGAATTAGAGTTTAACTAGGGTTTAGTGAACTCTCAAGAAGACACGAGGATTAAAAAATGACTGGAATAGAAGGAAAAGTAAACACCAGAGTTAGCATTTTCTCTACTCTGATAAATTAGGAGTCCTGTATGAGGCTCCTTCTGTCCTGACTTTGTACCTAGCCAAGAGCTTGCCAGACTGACAGAACACCCCCGGACTCCCTGCTTCCCTGCGAAGGGATGATATCAGAATTTGGAGGTCATCTCTTTCTGCTTCATCCACATAACATGAATTCTGGGTGCTGGAAATCAAGCTCTTCAGATCAATATCATTTTTGAAAGCTGGACAGATTGTGTCACAAGGGCAGCTTGGAATCTGCCTGTGAGCTCTGGACTCAGAGCTAAGGGACCCTGTGCAAGAGTTTCCTGCCTCAGTTTCCTCACTCATAAAATGAAAGAGATGGGCTGATATGATCTTAGAAATGCCTTCCACATCTACAGCTCTGTGTACATCTTCCTTAAGCTAGGATTTCATCATGTGCTCCTAAAGTTTACATTAATTAAATTCAATTAACCACCCCAGGCAGGAAACTCAAAGTGAAGGGCTGACACTTCTGATTAATTGAGAGTGGCAGAAAAAAATAAAATGCAAGGAGAAGATGTGACAGGCAGTTTCTAGCATCTTGCTTGCCCTTTATTGAGCCACTTTCCCTGAGTTGACTTAAATCTCCAAATGCTTCTCTAATTTTTTTATATAGCACACAGGAGCAATGTTAACCAGCTGCTGTGTTCCTCTCAGTAGGGGCTGATTTTTGGTAACAGTGGAAAAGATTTCCCTGAATGGTTCCTTACATTTCCTGCAAAGTAGGGGTTGCAAACTACAGCCTATGGGGAGACATGTTTACTCAGAATTTTACAGATTGGGAGGTTTTTGACATAAAAATCCAAGTATTTGCTTTTTCTTGAAAATGATAAACCCCAGGCTCCCACTCTCATTTATAAAAACAAGCCCAGCTGAGGAGATGTCGTCTCTTCAGTCGTGCTGGAGGATATCAGTTTTTATAGACCTCACTATCCCCTAGTGTGTTCCACCAACCTGATTTTTCCATTAACACAATTTTCCAGTCCCTCAGGAACACTGCCTACTGCCTTGGGACCTGGAAGATCTGTACACCCAGCGCCTGTGGGAGTTGGTCAGAGCTGCTTCCCACAACCTTATCCTACAGGTGGTGAAATACAAGTTGGGAGAGGGAGAAAAGACTTGTCTAAGGTCACACAGTGAACTGAGTCACAGCAGCCAGGCCTCCCACATCCTAATTTAGTGCCCCCTCCAGAGGACCACACTGCAGCCCAGGGTTTGATCCATAAATTTGTTGGCATATTTCTTTCTGTAAGAGCTCAACTCCAGCAATTCACTCTCCCTGCCTCTGGTTTTAGTTGTGAATATTCCTGAAGGACATTTGTTAAGGTTTGTGGCTCTTGCTGCTTTGTTTGTGCATCTCTGGAGATGGATGCACACGGTATCTCCATAGCAACTTGCTGTGATAAAACAAAGGCTCTTATGTCTCAGGTCTAGGAACAGCCTGATGAAAAAGGAAGAAAACAGTGAAACTCACTGTGAGGGCAGTGACAGTCATGTATCATAGAGAACAGGCATTTGAAGAGCTTGGTGATTAGTAAACAGACCAGGATGAGTCCCTGGCTCTATCCCAACCCAGCTGGGTGACCTTATGCAAGTCACTTAGCCTCTTGGAGATCCAACTTCTTCCCCTTCCATCAGAGGATAAGAATAGTGCCCTGTGGGATCATTTAGAAGGCAGAAGTGGGTACTACAGCTAAAGGGCTTCCTTAGTACAGACCCCAGCCCCTTTGTAAGCACACTGAGAAGTGACTTCTAAAAATGTCACATAAGCACAATGAGGCTCACTATTTTCAAAGTGAGTTTGTGTGTCATTTTTGTGGGTTTCACTAACATGAAGTAGGTAGGGATGAGTGTCACATCTTTTGTGGGTAAGGGACAGGCTCAGCAAACATTCGAGCTGTGTGGTTGTGTGTTGCTATTACTACAGTGAACATGTTTGTTTGTTGAGCAGATGAGCAGGGAGATTTTGGGTTATGAATAGCTTTGGGTTGAAAACAATATACCATATAGTATCTTCTTAACCCAAATGCAAGTTCTCTTTTGTAAAAAAATCCTGTCAAGTCACTTACTTTTTATTATTTCACTGGAGAGAGAGAGAGAGAGAGAGAGAGAGAGAGAGAGAGAGAGAGAGAGAGAGGATTCTTATTGATTTAAAAGACAGAGCGAGGTGAGTCCATTTCCTTCTGGTGACATCTTATTAAGCAGCTGCTCAGCAGCCCCTCCCTTCTCCATCAAGCGTCCAGCCAAATGTCACTTTTCCTATAATCCCCAGATAACCATTTTAATTAAAACGTACAAAAACCCTCCAACAGCATGTGCTCTGACTTTTCTTCACTCAGAAAACCAACCAGAAGGAAAAAAAAAATTCTCAGTGGAGAAAAGATTGGCAACAGTGCTCCCCGACACAGACGGGGGGCCAGGTCCCCAAATGGCACATCCCGGGCCGCTGGTTACCTTTGAAGCAGTGATGAAGTGCTCCCACCTCTGTTCCCTGGACTTGTCCTTATTGACTTTTTTTATTGAGCTCTTGCTTCCACCTGGGTCCCTGAGTGAGAAACAGCTTAATGAGTTTTCCATTTGCAGAGCCTCTGTTTATTATAAGTTTTTGTTTTTAACAAATGCAATAAATGGAGAATGAATGGTGATTGGTCTCTGGTATTCTCCCTTCCCTCGCTCCTAGACTTTGGCAGAAGTGTGTGGTGGGGGAGTAATTATTCTCTATAGTTGAGTTTTTGGAGTAAAATCAAGGATGGTAGAGACCACCGCTTACTGAGAGAAGGTGGAGGGAGTGAGTTATATTTATATGCATTTTACATCTATTTGCACTTTAGACTCAGATTCTCTTATGAACTCCATGGCCAATCTGAGATTATTCCTGGGACTGAACTGAAAAGTGTGCTTGTTTCTAACATTTTGCCTTTTCCTTTGACTAAGGTCCTACTATGAGGGACTCAGAGTAAGTATGTCAGGGTGAGGTTGGGTGAGGCTTGTGGCGTGGGGTGGGTTATGAAAAATCACTGACTTGAGGTTTATGGAGTTAAAGTTCTCTGGAATGTTATGTGCAAAACACACTTCTGTGTGTTGGTTCTCACTGAACCATCTCAGTCACTGCAACCTTGTGACAGAGTCATCATCAGCCCATTTTGCAGAGGAGGGAACAAACTTGGGGGTTTAAGCCACTCAGCCACAAGTAGATTTATAATGAAACCATTGAAGTTAGCTTCAGGGGCCCTTGCCTATGTGGGCCCCTGCTTGAGAATTCTGCCAATAATTTCATATTGTAATCTTATCTTTTTAAAAAATGCCTTCCTCCCCAGTTAAATAAGCTTATGCTCTATAAAACTTAGAATAAATTGGGAGCGTTCTGGATGGGAAATCAAAACCCCAGCATTCTCTGTTTATGACAAGCCTATACTCCCTCACCTGAAACCTATGGCATCAAATGTATTGTCAAATTCATAATTTTGGTATTTCAGAAAGAAAGTAGGCTGCATATATCACCCATTACCATAAGCCTTCCATTAGGGTCCATGGGAAGATTTTATAATCACATGTAATAATATTTCTGTGATAAAATACATATATATTTATACTCAGTGAGATAAACGCTCTAAATAGCTTCAAGTAAGGTTTTGCCACCAAATCATCTGGTTCATGTCCTATTTTTCTGTTAACTGAATTATGAAAAAGCTAAGTTCTCAGAGTCTTTAGACTTTGGACTTGTGGCTATGGTGGAGGTGGCTCTCCACTGAGAAGCAATTAAAGAGTCTCAGTGTGTGATCTCTCTGTTGAGTGACTGATCGATCCATCCATCATCTGTCCATTTCTTTTTGTCCTCTCTTTCTCTGCAGAAAGGAGTTTTAGATAGCTTGGATCTTTTCAATCATTTCACTGTCTCTCACCTAGAAGGACTTGAAACGAGAAGATGAGCAGACCAATTTTGCTCACTCAGAGAGGTCTAGACTTGTCAGGAGCTGCTGATTGCTGGTGGTAGGTGAATGTGTTTAACTATAGGAGGCAAAATGTGATTGAGATAAAATCTAATTTAAGGTTGGCTTCTCATGGCATGGGGGTTGGAGGGACAGAACCATAAACTTTTAGGAACCCACATGAGGAGAGGGGCGTACCTTCCTTACAAGCAAGGCCCTGCTGCACACCTACCAGCTCACAACCAGAACACAAGAAAGGCACACAGACCCCAAGGTGGAAGTTGGGCTGGGAAGGATGGGGTGAGAACATGCCTCCAAGCTTTTTGTAAGACTTTATGTTTGATTACACAATAAAAAGTCCTCTGAATAATTAATTGAGAAGCTCATTTAAGTGGGTTCTGCTTGCCTCTCCCCCGAGTAATCAAATTAGGGAATATTTAAAATCCAGCCAGAGGAAAAGGGAGCAGTACTTCAGTCCTCTAAACAATATTTAAACTAGCAGCGCTTTTGAAGTCTGATTTAAGGCTCACCAACTGGAAGCTTTAGCATTTCCGCGTTGAAGCAGAGTTTCTTTTAAGACCACAGGGCTTTTTGCTTTTCCCTTTGCTAAGGCGGCCCCTGCTGAGCTGCCAGCCTTCTTCTTGAAGTTCAAAAGCAACCCCCTTCTCCCTTCAAAATTAAATCTGGTCCCGGTGGAGCTTTCAAAATCTTAAATATTCAGGCCCAAATATTCGGGAAGATGGAAGTTTTCCACTAATGCTGACTTCCAAGATGACCTGAAATCTATTGCAACTTCAAGAGACAGGCTAAATAAGTTGAAAATGCTTCAAGATTCCCACAGACCTTCAAAAGCTCCGAGCCCTGGCTCTGGCAAAGACACTGATGAACAAAAGCCCTGGTTAGACAGAATCGCACTCTCTGATGTTTCATTTTCAGTAGCAAATAAACCAAAAGGAAGATCAATAGAAGGAGGAAAGAATAAGACCTCCCGAGCTGTGTGGTCCACCATGCACCTCATGACGAAGGGCAGAACAAGCTGGCGTTCCTTCCCTGCAGCCAGATGGGGAAATCATTAGTGGCACTTACCAAATAGCCTCCCCCACATCTTTCCTGCTCCCTGAAGTCAGGTATAGCTCTGTGTCTTGCTTTGTTCAAAAATACATGAACACAATTGACTTGTGGCACTTTGGGTGGATGCTTTAGGATCCCGTCCTGAAGACTGCTTGTTTTGTCTTGTTGATTGTGGAACTGTGGCTTGAGATGGAGCCTCCATCAGCCTGGTTTCCTGTGCGATTTTAATGAGCAGAGGTCCCATGCTGGACCCATAGACTGAGGATGAAACCAGCTTATGGGGACATTAGGCAGCTGAGATTTGTGGTAGCTAAGCCTCGCTTATCTAACTGATACCTCTTATTGACTGTCTCTGAGACTCTTTGGGTAACTCTTTCAGAGTATCAGAATTAACCAAGTGTTAAGCTGGGTGTTCAAGTCATTTCTCTGATCTTCTTCTCCCACCAGGTGTGATTCTGTGTTAAGTTATTCAGCCTCTCTGAGCCTCAGGGTCTCTCTCTGTAAAGTGGAGGAACAATGAAAAGAACTGGGGCTTACTAAAGGTTTGGTGGAGGCTTTTTACAGGGAGCTCAGTACAGCTCAGCTAATCACATCAATAACATGCTTTTATCCAACAGAGCTCTTAGAGTTGTTTCAAGGAGGAGATGGTGCAGGGGAACCAGTGATGAGAAAGAAGTAGCTATCATTATCATTTTTAGACCATCACATCTCCTTGCTAAAGATTTCTAGGGGTTTCTATTGGCCAGAAATCAAGGAAAATGGGCTCTGAGTAATCTCATCTCATCTAACTGAATTTACCAAGTACGTTTTGTTCCCGCTGTCTCTCGAAGCAATCTACCCACAACAGTGATCAGAGCAATTTTCCCAAATACTTAACTCGCAGTTTTGAGACTTGAATTTGGGGTAAAACATCTGCTTCTCAGGTTGGGAGGTCAGTTGGTTGGTTTTAGGATGTGCACACATGTCTGTGGCTGACAGTCAGAATGATTTTATACCAGGAAGGGGGCATACGTCAAAATTCTCTGATATCCTAGGCCAGCGAGCAATCCTGTCTGTGTTGTGATAAGTTGATCACACTGTGTGCTTTCCCACCTGGGCTGTTACTGTAGTGCAAGAGTGGAGGGAAGTAATTAAATCAGTGCAAAGAACGGAGCAGTGGAGCTCAGAGATTTCTCTCAGATGTCACTTTCTGAGTCTTTTCTTGATAATCCAGTTTAGAAGCAAAGTCTCTAGCCCCATCACTATAATGTCACCTATCAATTCCTTCATGACACTTATTGCTGTTATAAATTATCTTGAATCTTGCCTATTTATTATCTGTTTCTCCCTTGGCTCCTTCTTGGGAATGGAAGCTTCAGAAAACAGGGACATGCTCTGTTTTTTTCACTGTGGTAAACCCAGCAGGACATGGAAAAATTGCAGTTGGAGAAAAAGGAGACTTTCTTGGTTGGGGATGGGACCACATGACAAGGGGAAACCAATTTAAATAAAAAATGCTGTTATGTGTGTTGTTAATGAGGCTGCATTGTTTCCTGAAAATGAAAACTTGCACAAAACTTGCTATTGAAGGTGAAGTTCTTATGCAGTAAAAGTGCCATAGCAGAGGCCCAGCTGTGGTGGGATGCTCCTCATGTATTCAGTTAAGTACAGAAGTTCCATTGCAAAGCACTATGTGCAGAATGGCACTTTTCACTATTTGACTAAAGAAAATGAAATTTTATGCATTATATAATCTTGGTTAAGTGGGTCTCTTTTGTATCCCAGGGCCCCTTTTATAATGTACCAATTTGTAATGAGACATCCCCCCCCCCTTTTTTAAAGAAAGGCAGCAGATTATTATCTAAATTAATTGAAGATTTTGGACTTTAGATATAGCACTGGAAACTCTCAGTGAGTGGGTAAGCATCTGAGCTTTGCAACCAGGCCAGCTGTGTTCTCATCCTGACTTATCTTCTGCTAACTATGGAAACTGGGGCGAATTTCACAAATTTTCTGACCCTCAGTTTCCTTACTGGTAAATTGGAATGAGTTACAAGAAGTTGTATACCCAGGGCCGTGTCCGACATAGCGTGTGTGCAAATGGAGCTGTCGGATTATAAAACAGATGACTTTAGCTGTTTGCATCATATTTGACTCACTAAAGTACAGTTGCTTTTCTCCTTATATGTACTTTTTCCCAAGGAAGGAAGGTTTTTTATGCCTGTGGCAGACCAGTTATTGAGTGCCTGGACCTCTCTCAAAAAATGTTAGGTTTATTGGGATTTGTCTGGAATACAGATTCTTACCTAACTTAAACCTAATGAATCAGAATTTACATTTTAACAAAATCCCAGGTGTTTCGTAGGCACATTATCATTGGAAATGCCTTGAACTAAGGTGCATGAAAATGTTTTGTACAATGTCAAGCAATAAACATATACATTAGCATTATGTTTTTTAAAAGCCAAGATTCCATCTTGATGCCTCCACCAATTAAGACTGGGTCCAAGGGCATCTTCCTGGCACAGCCCAGGGCAAAGAGACCTAGACAACCGAGTTGCTCCTG